ACTAATACAGTGTACACAGGTAGGACAGACTAATACAGTGTACACAGGTAGGACAGACTAATAAATTTCACACTGTAGGTCCATAGTAGAGATGGTTATTCCATTATAATTATATGCATCAACAGTTTTAGATCATCCTACAAAACATGAAGAAGTACACAACGTTAATACACAAACAGAGTACAACATTGCATCAACTGTTTTAGATCATCCACTAAAACACAGGTTGGAGAAATACGCAACACATTCCAGTAAATAAACAGAGTACAACAACATATCTTGTGGTGGAATTCTCTAAAGGTTGAATAAAAGAAACAATTTAAAACAGGACTGTCCAGCTTCAACTGAATGAAGGCCACACAACAAACAAAAACCAGATCTTAATGCATTTCAATTATCAATTTTATCACCTCATAAGTAGATAAAATAATAAATAAAGTGCTGATTTTTCTGTACAGGTAAGTTAAATTGAAAGCCAAATGCAGACTAATAAATGGAAATCTCTCATTTAAAATGTCAATTCAAGTTCAAACTATTTCTGTTATTCCAGTATCAAATTAATGCTATATTAACAATTACAACCAATTACTATTAGAATTGTTACTTTTTTTAACAATCACTTATATAGTTTTAACAATAATGTATAATAGATTCATTACAACATTTTACATACAAAAATAGAAAAACTTCCCAACAGATTAACAGAGTTAGTTTAAACTACAGGAAATCTGTCACATAAGCTGATGTTCACGGATACATAACTTTACCTAAACTTTCCAACAGACTAACAATTAGTTTAAACTACAGGTAAAATCTGAAACATAAGCTGATGTTCACAGATATGTAACTTTACCAAAACTTCCCAACAGACTAACAGAGTTAGTTTAAACTATGGGTAATTTGTGATATAAGCTGATGTTCACAGATATGTATTTTTAGAAAAACCTTCCAAGACACTAACAGATTTAACATAAACCTCTAGTAATTTGTGACATAACTTTATACTCAGAGATATGTACTTTTAGCAAAACTTTGCACCAGATTAAGAGTTAATATAAACAGATAATCTGTGATGTAACCTCATATTCACAGATATGTAGTTTTCTGTTTGATATCACAAGGTTCACATTCAAGTATAAGTACAAATGATTGGTTACTATGATGATACAAACACTGACACATGACCTTCATAACCAATTAATTATTGTTGGTACTAAAATAAAACAGTCAATAACAGATGGAATAATATAATGTGTTCAGATAAAATCTTGTGAAGGGAGTTTAACTGAAACATCAGCATAACAAATTTTGGTAATAAATGGCAGATAAAACCTCACATAAAGTGAAACTTTTATCTCACGTGTTTTATTAATCTTTCCATACCACAAAATGCTCCAATATTGCTGGTCTCTTGTCAGCCACAGCTTTCAGTTCATGTAGAGCAGCTGCTATGTCTGTAGGAAATAAAATATTTTACCATTAAACTACAGTCAATAATTAAACACTCTCAATCAGAAATTAATCATTACAAAGTCTGAAGATAGTTAAAGTACAAATAATGTTAGAATTGACAGAAGCAGTTGGTTAGTTGTAGGTTTTTTATTGAAGTCATATTAATAGTCTTGTTTTATAGATTATCTGTTTCTTAAAAAAAGTTATATTTCAAACAATCCTTTACTCAATAAAATAATGCCTAGACTTAAAATTTATCATGTTCTTTACCTATCTTCAAAAAGCCTAGAGTCAAGTTAATACTGATCAACTTCTTTACTTCTCTTATACATATTGTGAATGGTGGTGTCTGTCCAAGCATTTAAAAAGCTGTGCACAAAGGCAAAGTTCAACATTCACTTTTGAAGTAACGGTAGAACACGCAAGAATAATGTTGATGGCAAATTTGGTTTTGCAAGCAGGATATTCTACACTAAATTTTTAGGAATTAATCACACTATCGATCACATTTCAATGTGGCATAACTTAAAGAATAAAAATGTAGATTTACAGTATGTTATTGTTGAGTGACTCTTAGCTTGACTGAAATGCTCAACAATTATTTTTAGCTCACAGCTTTGGCTCTGAGTGAAACCAAGAGTGCAACACAATTAACCTTTTTAAAGTCCATGAAATAATTTATATTGGTAGTTTTTTTTTATAGCAAAGCCACATCAAGCCCACCGAGAGGAATCGAAACCCTGATTTTAGTAGACTTACTGCTATCCCATCTGGGGACTTACATTGATAGATTAACTTCAACTTTATGGGTACTTTTGCTTGTCTTGATATAAACTACAGTCAGTCTCTATCAAGTTATTTACCTATGCATGATTTGTCCGTACAACAAAGACAAGAGAGAGATCACAACTTCCAGGTAATTAGTTAATGAGGATATAAAAAAATATGATACAGAACATAAACATGTTTTATGTGTATTGTTTGTAGGAGGAATAAACCTAGTCAGATCACACACCTTCTGGGTGATTAGTTTGTGACAATCTGGCAGCCAAAGGAGCGAGTTGAGCTTGGGTCCAAGCAGAAGAGGTCCTCAAAAAGCGACTTGATGTGGTTGTTGTCTGACCTTTGATCTCACCCCTGTCACTTTCTCGATCCATTTCATGTATAGATGAGGACAGGTCGGTGGAGGTTACAGAAATCCCGGTCATTAGTGACTTTAAACTCAACAAATCTGGATACTGGGCTGATAAATACCTGATGATCCATTGTTAAATAAAAAAATACTATTCATCAAAAGTATGACTCGTGAAAATGAAGAGTAATTTCTATAATGTTGTCTGTGACTTTTTCTACACATATTATAACAAAAAAATAGTCATTTAATTAAAGCACATTAAGGAATTTTTAAAATCACAGCTTTAGATGTCCAAAAAATCTTTAAAATGGAGTAGGTATCTCTGAAAAATTACATTTACACATTAAACAAAGTAAAGTAAGTTGTGCAGAAATTTCTATTATTTGCTTCATAGTGGGACTGTTGGTTTTGTATATGAAAAAAACTTTATTTTAATGCTATAAACAAGAGCAACATCTTTCCTGAAGCAAAAATGTTTATATTTTAGGTATAAGTTTGGAATATAAAGCATGATGCCATGCATGTTGACTGATCATAACCATCATCAGTTAAATAATATGTTGACTGACCATAACCATCATCAGTTAAGTAATATGTTGACTGACCATAACCATCATCAGTTAAGTAATATGTTGACTGATCATAACCATCATCAGTTAAGTACCAAGTTGACTGATCATAACCATCATCAGTTAAGTAATATGTTGACTGATCATAACCATCATCAGTTAAGTAATATGTTGACTGATCATAACCATTATCAGTTAAGTACCATGTTGACTGACCATAACCATCACCAGTTAAGTACCATGTTGACTAACCATAACCATCACCAGTTAACTACCATGTTGACTGACCATAACCATCACCAGTTAAGTAATATGTTGACTGACCATAACCATCACCAGTTAAGTAACATGTTGACTGACCATAACCATCACCAGTTAAACAACATGTTGACTGATCATAATCATCATCAGTTTTATTTTTTGAAAAGTTAGACAACATAGTTTTCACTTAAAAAGTTACATTATAGCTATACTTTTACTTGAAACCATTTTGTTCAGGTTTTAGCAGCTTTAACACACACACACTGCCAGTTCATTACATGAAAAGTCCTCAGTATACTACAAGTTACAACTTAAACAATGTTCAGTTGTAAAACACTTGGAATATATATCATCAACTTGTATTGTATGAAAAAAGCATTACATATTACAAGGTCTTCTTCCCCTTACCAACACTTACATCAGAGTGGACTGCCGTCGATGAAGGAAGGCTCGGGCAGAACTAGGGCTGGCAGACAAATACTGCTGTAGAAGCTGGAGATAACGATTCATTAAGGAAACTAGGTCTCTCTGTGTACCGTGGATCTATAGGGTAGGAAATGTTACCATACTTACAAGAGAATAACCATCTCTACTATGGATATAGTGTGAAATGATAGATACTATAATTACAATGGAATAACTACCTCTACTATGGATCTACAGTGTGAAATGTTAATATAATTACAATGGAATAACTACCTCTACTATGGATCTACAGTGTGAAATGTTAAATGTTATACTCTGTTTGTGTATTAACGTTGTGTACTTCATGTTTTGTAGGATGATCTAAAACAGTTGATGC